TACGTACATGAGAAGATAGATGATATATGACTTCACCATTCCACAATCAGGGACAGACCACCACTTCCAATGACAAAGCCTCGATCGATTAATTGCGAATATATATTTGCCGGCATGAAACCGGCGCGATTTGCGAAATCACGGCAATCCCCCCTCCACACTTAATACGATTGTACGCGGTACCTGTTGCTGACTGGACACCTCCATAACACGTCACTGACCCCATTTATAGGGCTCGGCTGTTAATATCAGACGGCAATTATTGATTGGCTCAAGCGTATCTGCCGCTGAGGTTAAGTACTTTCGCAGCAAAATATACAAATATAAATTCCGCATGTTTCCAACAGTGTTCCAGGCCTGGATCGCCATTTACATGTTGCGTCATGCGAATGCAAGTACCACTCGATGAGATTGGTCTTGCGGCTTCGCGACAAAGCCCAACAGCTGATTCATGGAATCTTGGTCCTTCATTCATCGGGGTCAATCCAATTGCAGCTTTGAATGATGAAGACGTCAAGTGCATCGCTGCTCGCTGTGTGAGCTCTCAAGACTCAGCCCAGGAAGGAGACGTCATGGAAGAACCTCCCAAACATGGAATTTACCATCGACTCATCAACAGCCAGTCTCGTGGGATCATCCATGTCAAAATTAAACATCTCGTCTGGCATCTACAACACAATATTAGTTCAAATTCACTAAGGTCTTCTATTGCATCTTACCTCGAAATCCCACTCGATGCCTGGCGCAGACGTGGTATTCGTTCCTGCAAATTGTTCCGGGATATTGGTGTTTTCATCGCACTGAGTCGTCTGTGCGAACAAATCCTGCAATAATGCAAGGGCATGATCTGCGCATCCCTCTGCAGAAAGTATCATCGATCGTGCTACTTCCTCCTTTGAAAGTCCTTGCTGAAGGCCCTCGATCTGAGCTTTCGCCACAGACTGCAACATATATCCTCGTACATTTGTCTCTCCGCGTTCGATGCAGCGTACACACCAGTCAAGCCCTTGCCCCAGAACATTCATCAGGTCAGACCGCAATGGCGCAGGACCTAGACACTCCTGTTCTCGGATCTGAGCCCTGAGCTCAATGGCAATAAGAGCTATCACCTGCGCGAAACCATAGCGGAAGAAACCACTACCACTCGTAACCCAACGCCAAAAGTCCTGAGAACTAGAAGCTAGATCTGCACCTGTAGTAACAGAAGATCTCGTCACAGAAGTTGGGTATATCGTGCACCATATCTTCAGTCCAACCTCAATCACCATCTTCCGAGAGAATGAGTATCTTATCTCACTCAGCGATGGTCCGAAATATGGAGCGTGAAGGGCTAAGATATAGCGCTGTAAAAGGAGATCGACGAAGTTCAACGAGAACGTGCTAGGAGATGCTCCTATGGTATATCCATGCATGTTCCTGTAAAGGTCCTTATACATCTTTCTTAGTTGTGCATCCAGCTGAAGTGTCTCGTCATATGTCCCTCGAGAGTTGATGCTATTCAAAAATCTAACAATCCCACGACGCAGTTCAAGAGACTTGCGGAGAATAAGAATGAAAGACATTTGAGTGAACTCTGTTTCGGGCGACGCAATGGCTCCTTCATGCAATAACTGCTCGTCATTGAAGTTCCCCGGCATCTCCGTATCCGATTCCTCCATGTAGATGCTGTGCATGCTCCCATTGTGCAGACTCGATTGGGTATCAATCTCCAGCACTGTATTCCAGAGCCTCCGGCGCATCTCGCAGATAAGTTTGGGTTTCGCTGGTAGCCTTTTCGGATCCCGGTGAAGTCCCAAACTCACCGCTGTTCTTATCACCTCGCCGGTGCTAACCCATGTTGAGTCTCCTCCAACCTTGACCAGATCTCGGGCAAGAAGCAACAGGATTCGGGTTTGCATGAACTGGATATCCAACCTGGACTTGAATTTTGGTTCCGAGAGCCAGGTTTGCACCTCGTAAATCCACCGACGAGCGGACATGCGCATGGAGAACTTGTCATCGTAAGTAACAGCCCCAATAGCGAGGACCAACTTTAGCAAGGCCAGAAATCCTGTGTCTTTCTTGCTGTCAGAAATCCACAGCGATTCGTAATCTCTTCTAAAGCTAGGTATGTGCAAGACTCGGTACACAGACTCGGTAGTTCTAAGATAGCAATCAACAAGGTCATCGGCAATGTCCTTCCGAGGTAGTTCGGTGGTGAATTCAGTTGGCCATTTTGGAGACCAACGTGATTTGATGACTCTTGCCAGTTGTTTGCATTTGGCTACACCGGTCAGAGCCTTTGGTGTCCCGCCCCCAATGAGCTGAGGCTGGACCATGCTAAAAATGTCGCCGATCTTGCAGAGACAATGTGAGCGAACAAACTTCGGTGCTGATATTCATGACGTTCAAAATCTTACCGGCGCAATGCTATTAACCCAGTGGCTTTTCCCAAACACACGAGATTTGTGAGAGAAGCCTCGAGCAACTGCTTGAGGCTGGCCAACCTCATGGGCCTGTTGCTGGAAATGAAAGGTGCCATCGAGTAATGCAGTGCTTGTGTCTGCCTCGGGGGTTGACTCTCCTCCGGGGTATCTTATGGTAGATGATCTTATCGATGTCTTGGATAATTGATCCTCAAGCTTCCGGATTCTGTTCTTCAAATCATCCAGCTCCTGAGCAGAGCCTTGCGTCTGGGGGGATGCGTCGTTCGGGGATGCATGGTGTGACGAAGTCCCGGCCGTCAACTTCCCACTTATATCTGACGCCTTCTCAACTAGGGTTGAGTTCTCGGACCCAGACCCCAAGTCACCCTCACCCGGCTGATTGAAGCTCTGTTGACGAGGAATCGTCTTCGGGAGCGGCCCAGTATGATAGATGCACTCGCCAGTCCTAGATCTTATACAATTACCGCATGGTTGCTCTCTATTGCACCGTAGCTTCCTCCTCCTACACAAATTGCATGCCCTAAGTGTAATTGAACGTAAGCATGGAAGCAGACGATGAGTATCCGTCAGGATTCCAGACTTACGTTGCAGGTCTTCTTCGACGGTGGACGGCGGACTCGGGGTGATCCACCATGATGACAAAGACGCCGGGTACTGCAGATTAGGAATTCTACTCCAATCAAGATTGATTTACTGCAATTGTGGCCGCCGTGCAGTCGGAGTGTGAAGTAAGGGGAAGGTTGGGAGATGCACGACAAGTCATCATGTTGAAGCAATGAATTGTCCGAGTCCGAGAATTTCCCGAGTCCGAATCCTCCTCAAATCCCGATCCCGAAATTCGAATTCTGGCTACCCTACACCCAACCACCGTTTCTCAGAGTTGGTGAGAGTTATTCAATACGTATCTGGTTTTATCAGACAACTGCGTTCCTAAACACCGCATTCACATTAATTCATTTTTTTCGTGAAATCAAAGGAATGAAAGCTTCGCGGGAAGTGAATATGCTGACCATCAACCCATCCGAGCTTACTACACCGCGTGAAATAAGCGCGCCCAGGCACTGAGAAATTGAAAGTTGTGAGAAGGACAAGTAAGCTCAAGAGGTAATCCAGACATCCACCAAATCACCCTCCCACTAACAAAGTGTGTTACAGGCTACAATGTTCATAAATAGTACCTAGATCATTTAGAATATTAAACCCTTATCGAGCAACCACACTACCTCGAGATCACTCTGCGGTCCCTATTTTTCTGACAACCTCTTGCCCCCTCCAAAGACCAGTTAATTTGCAAATGGCAAGTCTGTGGATGCCTTTGGTTGCAGGGGTTGGTTCTCCGGTACGTGGGCGCATGGACGTGCGAGATGACGATAGCCGAGCTTACATCATACAGCCCATGAGACGGTCAAACTCAAATCCAGTAACAGTGAAGAATTGGTGCTCGAAAAGTCCCCGTCTCGATTCCAAGCTGCGCCACACTTTCGTTGCTCATCCAGCCCTGATATTGCGTATCTTCTCTGCCACGGATCTCCTTTCCATTAGCGTTTTTGTTGAAGATGACGTCGGACAGATCTTGGCAACGGCACATCGCTCATCTAACCACCTAATGTCTAGATTGTTGGCTAAGCGATGAGTACCGTCAGATATGGGCTTAGCCTCTGACCAAAATAGATGCGATTGCTAGTTACGACAAGGTGGAACATACCAGTAAGCACTTGGCAGCCCAGCCTTACCGGATGCTGACCAGACGAACGTTGGCTTGGCAAGCCTCGTCTTACCGTTAGCCAGGAGAATATACGTGTATCATGCGCCGCCACAATTCTGAATATGCGGCCTTTCTACCGATGCGTATCTTGACGTTGAAAACACAAATGATATAAGTAATCATGTCACGCCCTAATGGAGAACAAACAACCAGCTGATCAAATAGAGAGACTGATGATCAACAACCCTAGCCACCGATAGTGTGTGGACCTCAGCCTACGCTAAAGTATTTCATCCACAAGAATTGATTACAGGCGGAGCCGAGGCGAGCACTGCCACCTGTTTGATTATATGCTAGTAGAGAGAGCGTAGCTCAAATTGACTTCATGCAATCTGAAAGTCGGTGACATTCTCTGCATGCTGTCAGATCTATTGGACTCTGATGTTGCTTATCATACCGCAAATGGCAGGTCGGATGAATCTTCAAGTGCATGTGCGACTCAATCTTGGCGCTATTTGAGGCCCAGGATAGAGTCTTAGTCTATCAAGGCCCCTGCAATTCGGAATGATGACCGTGTGTGGTTTCTGTGGCCCTTATTGGTGGTAGGAGCATGGGTTGACAGCCCTATTGCAGGGCGAGTGAGAAAACAGTCTGGATAGCTTGGCGGCCTGCTCCATATGCCCAGAATGAGTATGGCCTTGACGTCTTGAACTCATGAGTGTTACGTATAGTTTCATGGGTCACTGTGTATAAGAGGACTCAGCCCTTCTAGTGTTTCTCTGCTTTTCAACACTGAACACTCATCTTCGCCTGTGTTTAGCCTTAATTTACAATTTAATCTACTATTCTCGTTCCAAAAACAAGCAGAGATGGGTATCAACACCGAACCGAACCGGGAGTTCAACGAGCCCAAGGCTGTCAACGGCCTAGTGGCACAGTCCAAAAAACCTTACCTTATCGTGTGCACGTCCCCAGCCACTGGCCACTTCACTCCAATTCTGAGGATCGTTGAACGCCTCATTCAGAAAGGTTACCAAGCCACATTTATCGCTGGAGAGGAGTTCCAAGCCCAGGTTGAGGCCATAGGGGCGGAATGCGTCCCTACGCCTGCTATGTTGACCCCGGACATCATTGCCGAGCGCGAGAAAATCCCTGAGGGCATACCACGACTACAGTTTGACTTGAAAGCACTATTCGTGGGGCAGACACCCGGTCGGTGGGAAACCCTGAAGAAGACTCTTCTGAAGGTCCGAAAGCAACACCCCGGCGACGAGGTTGTCATCCTTACCGAGTCTTTCTACCTCGGCCATCTCCCCCTCCTCCAGGGTGCCGCTTTGCCTGAAGGGTTCACCAAGAGACCCGGCATTGTCAACCTCCACTCAGCAACCTATATTGTTGACAGTATCGACACGGCACCATTTGGGCCTGGTCTGCCTCCCGACTACACGGAAGAAGGGCGCGCTGCCAATAAGGCTGCGAAGGAAGCAAGCGCCGAGCCTGTATGGGGTGAGATCCTGGCCTATGAAAGGGAGATCAACGCATCATTGGGCATCAAGAACGACCCTGGCGCTCACTTGCTGCCATTTGAGAAATGGGTGACTCTCCCCGATATCACACTTCAACTATGCCCCAAGAGCCTCGAGTATGAGCGCTGCGATTTCCACCCCAAGGTCAAATTTGTCGGCGCTTTGCCTCGGCTGCCTGTCAAGGCCGGCATTACGTACCCAAGCTGGTGGGACGATGTGACGCGAGGAGACAAGAAGATCGTTACGGTGACTCAGGGAACTGTCGTACTCGACTATCGCAACCTAGTCATCCCGACTCTGGAAGCTTTGGCCGAGAGGGATGATATCTTGACCGTCGCCGTTTTGGGTGCCAAGGGTGCCTCACTACCCGCCGATTTCAAGGTCCCCTCCAATGCCCGAGTGGTGGACTACTTCCCCTATGATGCCATCCTTGAACACACTGAAGTTTTTGTCATGAATGCCGGCTATGGTGGATTTATTCACGGCGTGACCAACGGTGTGCCAATGGTGCTTGGAGGTGGAACTGAAGACAAGCCTGAAGTCAGTGCACGTGGTGAATTTGCTGGTGTCGCTGTGAACCTCAGGACAGGAGCTCCATCCAAGGAGCAGGTCGCTGATGCTGTCAGCAAGGTCTTTGCTGACAGCAAATTTAAGGAGAGGGTCATGGAGATCAAGAAGGAGAACGAAGAATTGGATGCTCTTTCATCGATAGAACAGCACATCGAGCAGTTTGCATCTCACTGGGCATAAAGACGAAGGAGAGATGAATATCATGGATAACGCATATAATTCAGTCTTCGAGTAACGAAGCCGGTTGATTGTTATATCAGGACATAGTTTTTATTGAGTCGATAATTTATATAGAGAATATACCCGTCTCAGTATTACCCTGGATTCATATGCCGCTTGTTAACACCCAAACTCGAGAAAATCTTTCCTTTAGGCGTGCTTGAACTTTCGGCACATGTTAACTCCCTCACCCACCGATTATCGACCATAAAAATAGATTCGGATGCTCATATTTTGAACTTCTCCAGGTATCATTTTTCTAACCTTTTTTCTTTTTACCAAAATAATTGCCCAACTTTGTGGCTCTTCACTCAAAGTTGCAGCAAACCCGTAAAAGATTTCTTCGACCATCCACTCGATGAATTGGCCGAATCTTACAATTTCGTGGGACATTGTAAAAACTGGCGACCGTAAATAATCACTTTCCTTACGTTGATAGGAAAAATATTGAATATAAACTCCAGGGTGTTGGTAGTTTGGGGTTGCTCGATTATATAATCACCACAATTAGTCAGAGCGGCTACTTGAATCATAATTTTGCACAGGCGATTACCCCAACTTGTAGCTTAACATTGTCGAAATGACGGGACAGAGAACGATGAAGTCGAATTCATCAGCAAAAACGTCAAACTTGACGCCTATGCTTGACAATGAGTCTGATGACGATGTTCTGGTCGACTATACTCAAGATCTCGCCCTCCGGTCCAGGAAAACCAGCCGTCTGAAGCGGAAGCTGGATCGCAAGGCCAAGAAAGAAGCCACGAAGCCTCAGCTACTATCCCTCACTCCGGAGCTCCTCCTTGATATTCTCTCACAGCTCAAGCCAGCAGACATCATCCGGTTTCAACAAATATGCAAGTTCTCACAAGCATTCGTCCGCCATCATGAAACCTCACTCGTCAAGGCGGTCATTTCTCGCCGATACTCTGTTCTTTCTCGGTGTTTCCCTCGGCCGATTCATCTCAAAGATGTTGATCCATTATATCACCCTGCCCTTCTTCACCAACGCCGCCAAAAACTTCTCTCGATCCATCGTAAGCCATATTCGCACGTTGCACATCATGATCCAGCCCTACTATGTTCCTGTCTTACTTGCATCATGGCCTGGAACAATTTGTGTCTGATCGTCGACTTGGCCCACTGGACGACAACAGCTCTATCTAAACGCCAGCCTATCCCCATGATCCCTCGAGGCGAGAATCCTCCATGGAACGTGGAGCTGGTCGAAGACCATGCGGCCGTGGTCCGTAGAGCTCTTGCGTCGCCTTTATGGTATGCCTTGATCCTCCAGCGCCACCTGCAGACAACCATTTTTGGCATCCGGCGGTATGCAAATAAAGGAGAGGTACCTGACTTTGAGCTTGATGACGAGGATGTCTCTCGGGAAACGGATGAATTTTGCGCTCGGTCCGGAAGTCCAAGTTACGAGTTCCCGATAACGCGGGACACGTATTACGGACTAAAGACTTATCTACCTAACCGCCTTTGGGATGCAAATGAGGGCTATTGGAAGTACCAGCCATCAGATCAGCATTTCAGAGATCTGAAATGGGTTCAAGACATGGCAGACAAGGAGAAAGAGAAAATAGCTCAAGGTCCTAGAGATGTTGGAGACAAGGGAAAAGTTGCCGGCGAATGAGTTGACTTGTGTGACAATATCTCGCTGTGCGTAATCAAGTTCAAGTATAGAAGTATTGAAATACAATTGACGATTTTGACCATGACAGAATCTGATATTTCAAAATTTCTCTTATTGCTATCCGCCACTCTCAAATAAACCAATCAGCCGGATCTTAAATCGATACATCTATTGACGCTCATCAACAGTGGTTGCAAATATTCGAAGTTTCAGAGGTGGTAGAGATGCAACCTATGAGCAGCACCTCATTAGTAACGTCACATCTTGATGAGATTTCCACGTACCAGTCTTCATGGTTATTCATTTCCTGCGTCATCTTAGCCGCGGCGATCGCCTGCTCCATATTCAAATCTTCGCCTATCTGATACAAGCATGAAACCGCATACTTCCTAGCAGATGGACTGTTGAGTTCTGAATGTGAGAGTACCGTCAAGGGCCAGATTAAGCATCTTGCCGAGGCGCAGAATTTGCCCCCGAGGCTCTGTGGCTCTAGAAAGCAAGACACACTGCGTAGGAGGTCAGTCTCAAGCTCAAGCAAGGTCTTGGCTGCCATTTTGCGGTAATTTAATAGCTCTTCATATGAATGCTCAGAGCTGCAATATTCTGTTTCCCCAGGTTGAAATGTGCGTTGAAGGCTGAGGCTGGAGTGTACCCAAATGGTCATATGCATGAACATGCGGATCATGCGTATCGTGTTCCAAACTTTGGCATGGCGACGAGTCAAATAGTTATATTCCATTGTGAGATACGCCCACTTGGAGAAATTTTCCAAAGTCTTTGGCGTAAACTTCATGTTGGGTTCGATGAGTTCACAGAGGGCAATCGCACCCTGATCCACCTCCAAGGCAGCATCTATCAAATTAATTGTACCCGCCGCGACTCGTGATCTCAAGGTTGCTGCTTGGTCGAGGATAGGTCCGATCTGAATGCAAGGGTGCCCGGAATCTAGAAAGGGGGAAGCCTCCTTTACCAGATCGAGGAACTCCTGCGGTACGGGAACTCTTCTCTGGATGCAGCTTGTCCGGATATTGGTGATTGTCTGTGTGAAAAGCTGGCGGGCCGTCTTGGAACGAAATTGATCTGCTCCTCGCAACCGTAGTAGTTGAACGGCGCCCAGCGTATGTGCCGTCCAGCTCTCTGGTGACTGGCCCCCTTTGAAGACAACAGCCTCAAAAAGCCCCAACAGAAGCACGCATATCAACGTTTCATCTAGAAGTGCATTCCTGAGCGTTGAGAGAGACTTATTTGTATGTAGAAGAGCGGCGGAATAGTTAGACCGCGCTTTTTCCATGAGATCCTCATCTCGTGTACGTTGTGCAAAGGTGGCAAAAGCAGCGGCGTGAATAGCTGGTAGAATTGCTTGTGTGGAATGTTTCATACCATAGAGCTGTGGTAAGTACGGCTCAAATGGAGATGCGTAGATGAAAGAACACATGAAAAAGTCCAACGCAGCGTCCTTCAAGTGTTGTGGTGGGAGAGCTACAGGGGAATGAGGCGAGCCACCCTCCTGCCAATGGCTCGATGCTATACTCATCTTAGTGTCTTGTATGTGGGCATGAGAGCGAGTAGAGGGATATAGCCCAGAATGAGAACCCTTTTGCTTGGCGCGTTGAACTTTATGGCCAATACGGCTTGTCTCGTCTCTCCAGCGAGGTGCGGATACATCTCTGTATCCCGAGCAGGGTATCCTCTTGCGGATACATTGGGTACAGGTGGGAGTCTTTTGGTCGCACTACATGATGTTCAATTTTAGCAAAGATAGAGAGAATACCATCAGACGGCAAAGTGAATAGCTTTGTGACTTTCAAATGTGCAAGCCCATCAGTGTTGCAATACGCCGGATCGGTGACTTACCTTGAGTCTGGAGATTCGACACGGCCGGCAAGCAGCCGAGGGTCGCCCACTAAACACCATCCTTAGCCGATTGAGTGCAAGATATGGCGCGGGACCGCTACCGGCAAATTGTAAGTCCCATTATCTAGAGATGGAACATTCTGTGCTCGAGGAAGCTGATAATGATCATGTAGGGCTGGCGTAAGTGCCCGTGTGGCGTCGATGCCGTTCTTCCGGGGCTGCATATTAGCGTCGAAATGCCCACCAAAAGAGGCATGGTGTTGATCAGCAGCTGTCATTAGAGAGATGAACATCATCTACTGGTCGTGAGGCCCTCAGCCGTTTTTCCGAGTGGGTGGCGGTGCACATTGTTGAGACAGCAGGGCGCCCCTTGTTATATATCACACTTCGTATGGCCAACCAATCAAGCTCTCATGGCATACGGCGGTGTCAGCTCAGATCGAAAGTCAATACACTATCTAGATTATGTGCCGTATAACATCCACAGAGTGTCTAGAAAAAATGAATAAAAATAAGCCTTTGCTGCCGCTGACATTCTAGCAACAGGGGTAATTGAGTCAGAAGATCCCCGGTTATGCGTTGCCGATACTCATTCATTCATCCAATTGGGACAAGAGATTATATTCAGTTCGAGAGAAAACGCACCGACAAATTATCTTAGGTAGCATCCAGGTGAGCTTCGCACTCGCACATCAACCCAGGGTTGCAGCCTGGCCGAGGAAGGCTTCTGACGATCTTCTCCTAGCCCTACAGAAAACCACATTGCTAGCGTCGAAATGCCCCCTCAAAGGAGCTTAGTCTCTCGAATTCATGTTACGAATGATAGCGGGAGCTTGATGGTGAAGACAGAGAGTCAAAAGTTCATAAACAGATACTTGCTCTTCTTGATCCCCCCTCTCATAATGTTTGCAGGATAACAGCCGCTACTCGTCTCATAAGTTCTTTGATTCCCCTAATTTCCTCCCTGAAAAAACGAAAAACCAAGCCATGACTCTTGATTCTCGAGGCTGTGTCTCCATTGCGGAACTAGTCGTCTATGTTCCTGCATTTGTGCTGGCCATCGTTATATGCGTTCGCCATGGCATCAGGCAAACTTCTGGCTGGATCTACACTTTAATCCTCTGTCTTGTACGCATCGTGGGTTCAATCTGTCAGCTAGTGACATATAGCAACCCTTCTGTCGGTTTGATCCAAGCCTACCTGGTTTTTGACTCTGTCGGCCTATCGCCGTTACTCTTTGCTACCTTGGGACTGCTCTCTCGATTGTTTGTCATCCCAGCCCCCATTATCATACTTTGACGTCTAACATCTGATCGGAAGGGTTGATTGGATCAATACTGAAAGAGGTCCAATTCTACAAGTCGCACATTTCCGTCTTGTCCAGTTAATTATCACCGTTGGCCTCATCCTCGGCATTGTGGGTGGTGTCCAGCGGGGATCCTCTGAAACCACTACGGGCACCACTCCGCAGCCTTCCTCAGTTAGTCAGGCCGCAATCATCCTATACATTGTCGCCTTTGCCGCACTCGTTGGGATTCTACTTTTCTCCCTCGGATATCTAAGTTACGTGCCTTCCAAGGAACGAAGCATCTCGGCTGGCGTTGCCATCGCGCTGCCTTTGATACTCGTTCGCCTTGTGTGCTCGGCGCTCTCCACTTTCACTCACAGCAAGACATTCTCTATTCTGGGAGGTGACGTCGGGGTATTTGTCGGTATGGCTGTGGTTGAGGAGTTTCTAGTCATCATTATCTACCTCGGGCTTGGGTTCGTTGTCCCAAAGTTGCAAAAGGGCCAGCAAGGCGAGGTTGGAAGCGGGCAATGGCGTCAACGAAGAGAGAGGCCCATCAAGTTCACCAGCCTTCGAGGTGCCAACCTAGCGTAAAATATGAGCTTCGAGATTCGTGATAGTGGGAGCTTTGGGAGGTTGCTCGGTGTAGATAATAAGGTCGGGCGAAGCGAATCAGTTACAGCAGACATTCAGCTAAATTATTAATCCCAAACTCGACTGAGAGACAATTCAGAAAACACTTGATCCTGTATGAAAGGTGAGCTATTTGTGATAAAGAGAACACCAAAGCCAGAATATGCAACTATCTTAATATACCTTATGCAAAATGTTCCCAGCTCATATCGCTTGAGTCTCATAATTCTAAGAAGTTTCTATCAAAGTCTAAGCAAACACAATATGATGGAAACCAAACACCCCATCGCAGCCAGCACGATGTATGCCAGTCCCGTCCACACTCCGCCGATCTCCATTCCCCTACCCAACAACCACCCGATCAGAGGTGTTGTTATTATCACCATCACGGATTGAAGAGTGGACATTGTGGTGTTTACAGTCGCAACCATATGCGGTTCCACCATGGCGGTTATCAGTACTCTCATCTGCGCGGAAAACCCCTGACTTAGCCCATAAATGATGAGCGCACAAATGAGCTCCCACTCGGTATCTGCGAGACCCATGGCGAACATTGCCAGTGTGAGCAAGACGGCCGAGGTACGCGCCAAGTAGACGTCCAGCTTCATCCGGTTAATGCTGGAATATTTGAGAATCACGTGGGTAGACAGCGGGAGAATGCCAAGAAGAAGGATAACAGATGTCACCTTGGAGATGGTCAACAATGTCAGTGCTTTCGACCAGCTTCCTAGGGGAACAGCAATGTACTGCAGGGCAAAAAGAACCATCGATGTGGCGATGGGAGTTGAAACCGCCTCGCAAACGCACAAAGCCATGATTTTCTTGTCTGCAATAACAAATTGCCAGAGCTCAGCGAGGTATTTGGTGAACTTGTGCCAGGCGGCCGAGAGCATGCTGTCGGCCTTGACGCCAGGGCCACTATCCTCGTCGGTGCTCACCTCGCCATCCGGGCTGTCGGGTACGTCCTTGAGGGCCAAGCCAACCAGACGGGTCTCAGGCATTAAAAGCACGAAGAAGCAAGCCACGTACAGCAAGCCGGTACCCAAGAATGTCGGCAACCAGGGGCTGTAGTTCATAAGCCACGCGGTGAGGGGATTGGTCGAGGCGCTGATGATAAGGGTGAGAGCAACCAATTGATAGAAGACGCTGGATCGTTCTTCTTCACGTGTGACATCCGTCACAATGGTCCAAACCATGGCAGCAACCATGGTAGCTCCGCCTCCGATGAACAGCAGAATGTAGCCGGGTATCATGAGCCAAATCGAAAAGATGTCAGAGAACCAAACTAAAAGGGTTGTGAGCAACGTTCCCAGCAGTTTATTCAAGGCAGAAGTGCATACGAATGAAGATATTCCATGTGACCATGAGCGTCAATCCAGCGATGGAGAGGAAAAGGACAAGCCGCCGGCCGGAGTGATCTGCGAGGAGGCCATAGGGAACCTGGACGAGCAGAGCTATCGTGGAAGGCAGTGTTAGCGTTAACTGAAGAATCAACATTCGGGGTTCCACCTACGGCAAAGGGTCCCAAAGAGGGCCTGGATGGATGTGAACATGGCCAGCTTGGACTGCACGTCGGGAGACTTGCAGGGAGAGCCGGGGCCCTTGGCGAGCAACACCGACGGGTTACCGCCATATCGGTCACGGCAGATGATGTCCTCCAGGATCTGCTGGGTAGGGGGGTCGATGATGAACACACTGACGTCGATGATGAAGAGGAAGACGGCGCACATGAGCTGGACGCGGAGCTGAAAGGCCCTGCTCGGGGCGGGAACGGCTGCTGCGCCGGCATCCTGCGCGGCTGGAGGCAGAAGCCGCGAGGTCTCGTCTACAGTGGGCGCATGTTCCCCGCTGGTTCCACGGTCGCTATCGCGAGGCTCCAATTGAGCGTTTGGGGTCATCGGATTCAGACTCGTCACCCATCAATCGCCAATTCTGCGCAGGTGAGAGGAAAATCGCGACATTCAATGGCGCTTTGCCGGATTCTCCTCCCTGAGGAAATGTGGGGGGTTCTCATGAGCAAGTTTCAGGGCGTCAGCACGGAGTAATCAACGGATTATAGCGGTGCTTCTAGGGGGACCACGCTGGGAGCAGAGGGGATAGCACTCAACACCCCCAAATCGTCCATCTGACGTTCCAGTCCATCTGCGTGGAACCGTCCATCATATGTCCATCTTGAGACACAGCTGATTTCAATTCACATCTAGGTTAAATCTGCACATCAACGAATTCTCCTGTATCTCTCCATCAGGTGCTCAAGGAGGCACCCAGCCAAGCTCCTCAATGGGCCACTGCGTCCATAGTTTATGCTCGTCATCCAACAGCCCCCAAACGCGCTCCATTACATGTGTAGCCCATCCCTCCAGCCACCACTGGCTCTCAAGCTTTTTGAATATGATCAGCATATGGGCAAAGATGGAGAGGGCCTCCTGCTCCGGCCTTGCGACTTGCAGCAGCGACAGGAAATCCACCATGTGCCACGTAACCACCAGTATGTCCCACGGCTCCAGTCTCGGCCCCTGGGGGCTGGGCCTGGCGCTGGCAGCGGTTTTGTGATAGCCATCCAGAGCACCGCCGTTCCAGTCGGCCCCTCCTATCCGCGCACTCGGTATTATCATGCCAAGGATATGCCGCAGATGGTCGATGGTCGCCAGGTAGATTGGTAGGACCTCCTTGTCCTTGCAGGCCCGGGTCACTTGGTCCTGGAGCTCCATGAGCAGCGCCGGGTTCCGCGGCTGGTCGGAACCGTACAACTTCCTCCAAGCATTTCTGCCATACTCGAAGAGGGGCGCCAGGGGCCCTTTGTACGTGTTTGGGTCAAGAATCTGAATGATGGGCTCTGTCCCGCGCACCAAAGCAAGCCAGTTTGGCACGACCGACTCTCCCAGGATGAAGGAAGATTGCTCTTCTCTTGGACATCCAAGCGCTGATGGCGACATTACTTCGTCAGTCTGGTGTTTCAAATCCAGAATTGCTATGCGAATGACGAGCTTGATACATACCGAAGAAGAGTGTCAGGACAGAAAAGAGATGGAGTGCCTCGCAATCTTCATGTCTCAAGTCCGTCAAGAGCGAAATGGCCTTTCGATTGGCAGCTGCATGGTGCTCCAAACCCCGTTGAAGGTAGTGAACCCTCCTCGATGGACGATAGTGCGCAAGATGGAGGGCAGACACGGCAAGAATCATGCGCATCAGACAATCGTTGTCCATGGCCATCTTGACAGCTGTGGTTTTCAGCATCTGACGAAGCGAAGGGTCGTCTGAGAGTGTCGCAAAGGTAAAGGTGGTAAAGTTGTACATGAGCTCCAGATCAACCATGTTCAAGTCTGCAGCTTGATTGCTAGTGGAATTACTACCGACATTCCTGTCTGGCAGACTTTTCAAAGCTGAACTGTTCGGTGTGCCAATGATAAATTGGCCGTCGAAGTCGCATGATACTCCATGCCTGATGCAATTACGACAGCTCGGCCGATGCTCATCGCACTGCCATCACAGTTAGCAGCTCATTTCTCATTCCAGTTTTGACCCAGCAGCCTCATTTCTCCCCCTTCTCTCTAGGTGCCGGGGGGATGTGAGAGGCTGTCGTCATCATGAGGGACAGTCAGCAGCCACGCACCTTGATCTTTCGACGCTTGCACGTCCGACACCCCGTCTTAGATTTCGCATGCGACCGCCGCGACACGGTTGCGTGCGGCCTCGAAGATTTCTCCCTCTCGCCTCCGTCGCTTGTTTCCCTAACCCTCCCGGGGGCCGGGTGGTGTTGTGACGGCGCTGACGGTCGCGAAGAGGACGGCGACCGAACATGCCGCTCACTAGATTCCTCCGAGGCTTCTGAGTTTGCCATCCGAGATATTTTGGGATAACCTCGCACCAAGTAGCGATATCTAGCTGACGCGCACACGACCAGGTGATGAAATGCGATTGATGAGAGTGATGGGAAGTAGCCAAAGCCAAAACTCGGGTTTTCGGCAACGAAACCTCGTATTCGCACCGATTGATCCGAGCTAGGCTGTTCCCAGGTATAATTTACCCTGCAGCGCAACAATCACCTCTCGAAACGCGGCTCGTTCTTAGATTGATATAAATTCTTTGAGAGGCTCTGTTTTAAGCTCAAGAATTGAAGATAGGACGCTGTCTAGCTTGATCTTGATCACAGGATAAAATCCATGGCAAGAAAATCTTGCTTCAAATCGCACGACAATCACGACACGAATACGATGAGCAATTTCAAACCCAGAAAGGACCTCCACCCCGGTTGTTTAACGTTGAACATATGCAACAAGGGGTGGCGAGAGAATACGCAAAACGCACAGAAGGAAGGTTATTTAGCATCGTCGACAGCCAAAGGCTCTCTATCTTGCAAATGAGTGAGAATTCAAGCTCAAGATAACGGATTAAGGGAAACTTTGTCACAATTTGCTTATACCAAAGGTAAATGATAAATACTCGATGTAAAAAAGAAAGAAGAAAATCTTTGTACAGAATGAGACACTGAACTAATGGAAAATATATATGTCGCATGTTGTGTGCACATGCTGTGGCCCAGATCGTCCCTTATACTAATGCTCTCTGTCACGAGTCTGCACGAGGCTTCCGCGAAGCCCTAATAAACTCGTTCAAATAGACCAAAATATCCATCACAGCTTCTTCTTTCTGTATAATAACTATATTTACTAAATTGGATTCTAGGAGTTTTCTACCTGTGTGCTTCGAACAGGGTTGATACCATTACCTGAGATACATCTCAACTGACACAAAGCATTTATGTGTTTTTCGACATCACGATTGGAATCGTGTGTATCTCGATTATTGTGCACGATGCTTGAGTTCCCCACCTATTGAGAAATAAGCATATTGAATGGGGATTTGCGATAGATTTCTGTACTATTCAACTGGCCAAATTGGGTAAGCTGGGATACATCATCGCGAAACCACGGCATGTTTAGACAACTTCCTAATCTAAGCCAGCTTGGTAAGGGTATGGGGATGTTAGAGAGTAGCGCTAAAATCCAACGGAGATCCACTGTCATCATCTTGTTCCATGTAAGCGAATCTCCGGCCAGCTTTTGTAATCACTAGTAGGGTTCGCTGACGCCTCCTTACATAGTAGATGCCATTGCCAGTTGCTTCCCCTCTCCTCGAACCTCATTCATTGTACTTTCTTTTGGAATTACTTGCACTATGGGCTACATTATCACCGATCCTACTGTTCTCACGGCTACGGTGGCCGTGGTATCATTGGCCTATTTCCTGCTGCGAGGTGGCCATGATCCTCGTGAGCCCCCTTTAGCTCCGAAATCAATTCCCATCATCGGACATGTAGTCGGACTCTCACGCAGAGGCTTCAATTACTATGTTGACCTCAGGTAACGCGCTTTTCCAAACATCCCTAATTTATCACAGGTGAGTACTAATTCTAAACTTTTCAGCGAGCGAACGGACGCGCCCATCTTCACCATGTCCCTCCCGGGGCAGAAGATGTATGTGGTGACGAAGCCAGAGCTCGTACAAGTTATCCAAAAACAACACAAGACATTGGCCTTCCCTCCAATTGAGGCAAAGTTTGCCGCCACAGTGTGCGGCGCTAGCTCCGACGCTCGGGCTATACTGGCCAAGAATGTGAACGGGGATGAGGGCGACTTCGGTCTTTCCATGGATTCTTATGCCGCAATGCGTGCTGCGCTCAAGCCTGGTCCAGAACTCGACGATATGAATAGGTCAATGCTTCTCGAAATCGTCAATGCGCTTGATGAACTTGAACCAGCAAAGGGCAAGTCTCGAAAACTGGAGATGTACAGTTGGTTGAGAGGGGCCATCACCTTGGCCACAACTCGGTCTGTATACGGGCCGCTGAATCCTTACAATGATAAAGCCATTACGGATGCTTTCTGGTAGGTGTAATCTAGAATACTCTTCAATGGCGGGTTCAAGGCTTATTTTGTTTTAATAAGGGAGTTTGAGAGCGGCCTCATGTCGATCCTGGTAGGGGTTCTTCCATCCATCACCGCTCGAAAGGCAATTGCAGCGCGAACCAAAGTTTCCAAAGCATTTGAAGAATATTACAACAAGGGAGGCGTAGAAATGGGGTCTGCGTATGCCAAGAATCGTTACCAATCCGAGGCTGACAATGGTCTTTCCTTGGAAGATATTGCTCGGTTCGAAGTCGGAGGCTCAATCGCGGTGCTGGTGAACACTACACCGGCAGCTTTCTGGACCATTATCCTCCTGTACTCACAGCCAGATCTCCTCATTGACGTCCGAAAAGAAGTTGACGCATGCACTGAGACCACAACAGATGAGATGGGCTCCATCACTAAAGCACTTAACATAACTACGCTCAAAGAAGCCTGTCCGCTTCTTCTTTCAGCCTATCAGGAGGTTCTCAGGTATTGCTCAATGGGCACATCAGTGCGCGAAGTCATGGAAGATACATACCTGGGATCTTTCCTTTTGAAGAAAGGTGCCATGGTACAAATGCCCAGCCGTGTTATTCACCAGGACGCCAGCCTATGGGGTGCCAGTGTCAAGGATTTCAATCCTCGCAGATTTCTGCGTGAAGAGAAGAAGAACCGGCCTGGCGATGTGTGCTTCCGCGCTTTCGGAGGGGGCAAAACATTATGTCCTGGGCGACATTTTGCGACCAATGAAATTCTCGCCGTTGTTGCCGTCTTTATCTCAAGACTGGATATTACGCCTGCTAATGGGAGCTGGAATCTCCCAACTACGGACAACACGAATATTGCGGCAACCGTGATGGAACCGGACAATGATATTGAGATCCAGGTTAAAGCACGCCAAGGGTACGAAGGTGTCAAGTGGGTTGTTAGCCTCCATCATTCGGAGAAGATATTCGCTCTGGTTACGGAGGATAATATGGAAGAAGAATGAAGGGTATATATGCTTGCTTTCTTTCCTGTCAAAATTTTTTTCAGAGGCTGAATATGCTCGATATTTACCTAGGTCGAAAATTTGATGTATTGCTGCATTCCTTTATGTTACAACAAGCATGCTTGTGTGAATCATGTATGGTCTTGCAGCTCTTTAATAACTACAGTCTAGTATCATGTAGAAATTTTGGCTATATAGAGTGGAAGAAACGAATTTCCAAATCCTCTCCAACGTCACAACTGGAAGCCAACATAGGGTCTTTGACTGAAGTCAATCTTGAGTCCTTCTTTCATACTCTGACGCCTCTTATAGGCCCACAAAATCCATTTCTCAGAAAGTCTCTTACCTGTTGCGTTGTAACTAAGGTTAGGTGGCCCAGCCCTCCACTTGGCTTCCTCTTCTCTCAACCGACTTTCGAGCTGAAACACTTTGAAATCTTTGCCGTTCAGTGTTAAAACGATACTGTCTACCACTTGCTCATAGATGAGCTGGCCCATTTTGTTGCCATTGGGACCGAAAGCCAGCCGCCTGTCGAAAAATTCACACAAAAGTCTCGCTAGTGATTCCTCGGGCGTCATGGGTGCATTGTCATGGTCCGGATCGTTTTCCAGAAGTTTTCTGGCCGCCTTGTAGTGGGCGTCGCCAACTACCATGCTCTCATTAGTTGGCGTCTCTACAGGTGCCCGAATGTCGATGACAAGCTTTTTGACTATATATTGCGGTAACGGTAGCGGACGACGGACCGTTGCTAGAAGCCCAGGCCCTTTATAGAAGATATCCACGAGTAGCCAGTAGAACAACCCTAGATATGGGAATTTACGCCGATTTAGATCGGCATGGGTAGATTCAAGGCGTTCCCCCCTTTCTATAGATGTTTCTTCATGGCTAAGTTGAATTTCGGACAAGGATTGGGGCCTAAGAGCGCCATCCAACGGCTTCGGGGGCACCAGGTCAAAGATGCGAAGCGTGGCGTTTATGGAGTCGATGTACTGTGTCTGGGGAAGGGCAGGAACCGACCAAGTAGGCCAGATCTCAGACTCCTTAGCCGTGATGTCGAAAACCATGATGTCGACATAGTAGTCTGCGGATAGGCGGCAGAGCAGGGATTTAACTTCGTCGTAGATCTGCCTGTTCACCAGAAGCAGCGGCAGAGTATGGTTAGGGGGCCTAAGGTGCTTGATTTTCGGATAAGTGAAACCGACTGTATGCCGCAACTTTTGACGGATTTCCTGCTCTTCTGCAGGGTGTGACGGCGGTGTGTTCAGGGAACAAATGGTCCAGCGGAAAATGGTGAGCCGAATCTCGGCTGGTATCATGAGTAAGAGTGACATGGTTATTCCTCATTGCTATGGCATTTGCGATACTAATTAATGGGGAGTTTGGGCACTTAAATAAAGCGTTGGGGGGGAGCGCTGAGTCAGAGATGGGGGCCAGCGCGTTGCTGCCTGATACCCTTTGCTGATCATTGGCAGATCTTAGATGTTTTCGAAATATATTGCCTATTTTCTCCTATTAAAGTTCTAATATTCGATAAACAACACATTAATCCGATGGATTTTCTTGGTATGACTCAACGCAATGTAGAATCATGGCTAGCGATGTAAGAGAAGCCAAATAGATAAAAGAAGTGTATGAAACCTGGTTTGAGTTAATCCATGATCGAACTACAAACTTTGAAATCCAAATAAGCAAGAGTCTTTAATGTCAGAACAGCCTAGTCGGATCAGTGGCACGCCAGCCTTCATGTCCACAAGATATGTCCAGGGACTTATGATATCGCGACGAATCCTTGGAAGGAGTGAGGATAAAGACAGCGCATTACAAGTCTATTCCCAGATTAGGAACCTTTGGTACTGTTGGGAAGTCCTCTGCGGACGATCTATATCGGAAAAATACCTCCCTACTTCCAATATTTGCACCTATGAAGTGCCTAGGCGAACTTATGCCCCGCGATAACCAATGACCATTCTGAGCTTTGCAGAACCCTAGAGTTCCTCTCGATCCCACTTGCCTCTTCCTTTTGTAGCGCTTTGTATGGATGTTGGGTGACTAATGCAAGGCCGTTGGCATTGTCTGGATCTAAACAAACGCGCATTTAGCGAGGGGCGAGTGTTTCCTGAAGCTCCTGCCTGCATTTCAGCATCTCTCCGTCTCTGGGCAACGCGGACGTTCATGTCGTACAGACTCTCGCGTCATACTACGGGACAGTCCAAGGCTCCTCCCCCTCCGATGCAGGATCAGACCCAGGGACGAGCAGCGTGATAGAAGGAGCTACTACGTGCGCGCAGGTGCGGGGTACCAGCCAATTGAGACCATGTAAGGCGTGCTTACGTACATGTTATGCCTCTGATAGCGCCACTTAAGTGCCTTGTTGAGCAAGTATAAAAATGTGGAATGCCACACATCAGCTCTCCTCCATCTTCCCCCATTCATCCCCGTTATTCTGCCTCTGTGCCTACAAGATTCGCCCTCGCTCCATCTCAGCTCTCCCTGTAATTTCTCCCTCCTCCCGCCGCGCAGGCACCCGAAAGGATCAAATTCTGACCGCCCATCTAATTAGCACATCACCAGCCATCATGAGTGAACAACGCCAGCAGGGAACCATCAAGTGGTTCAACGACGAGAAGGGATACGGCTTCGTGACCCCCGACGAGGGTGCCGACCTGTTTGTTCATTTCAGGGCCATTGAGGGAACCGGCTTCCGATCCCTCAAGGAGGGGCAGAGGGTCTCTTTCGAAGTCGTGCAGGGACAGAAGGGTCTCCAGGCCGACAAGGTGCGCGTTGAGGAATAATCAAACGCCAAAATAAAAAACGACGAGCAAGGAATTGGGTTACTCATTCGATATTTTCAATTCAACCGTTTCTCAGCCGTATATCCGTTGTGACAGGAGCGAACGGCCAATGCGTCATTTAACCCTTTCCGCCTCTCAGCTTGTCTCTGAATTTTTTTTATTTTTTTCCTTTTTTTCGCCATTGCATGGATCTAACCTATTGTAGGGCCAAATTTGGGTTTTCATAGTGTGAGATCCAATCGCCAGTCCAGTGACCAACCAAGCAGCAAGATCATCCACATCATCCACTTCACTGCGGATTACCAATCATAAAGTGGGCATTGTCTGTACTTTTTGCCAAGATGGGTAACCAAACCTCCGTGATCGCGGCCTTTGCGCAAATCATTGCGTCAAAGTCCTAATATAGGAACCATCTCGTCGTAGTCTATTTGCGACGATACCCCATGGGCTAAGTGTATGTTGTATCTAGACTGAAGTAAATAGAATGATGGTTGTCAACAAGAACAACACGAACAGCTCGATAGCTATAGAAATCATACTTGTTAGAACAATCACTTAGGGTAGAATATAGTGATCATCACCAACGATAGTTAAAACATTCATTGCCATTTAGGTAGAGATAGATATAGAAGAGTGCATCGCCAATTTGAGCCAATTGCCCCAAACCCAAATGCTATGCTATACCGGGGGATAACAGACACAGGAATATCACTCGAGCATGCTCCAAATAAATATCACGATTACTCCGCGTCTATCGTATCATCTAGCTTCGAATACGTGTCCTCCAACGACTTCATATAAGTCTCTATAATAGCCCAAACCCAAGATATTCCGACCCAAAGGTGGGTGAAACAAAGCCCCAATATTGATCGAACTGCCCAGCATCCGCTTGAGCCATGCTACCATCCGCAGGATATAAATTGTTCCCGATCGGAGATGTGCTGGGAATCACATCTTGGCATATTTCGGAGAATAAACCTTCAGCATCCCTTGGCATATCCCATCGGGCTTCACTGTCCTCTAATGTCCTAAACTCGCTCCCAATCTCGCCATCAAAAGTTTGAAGCTGATCCATTCGATCCTCACTGGCCAGCGCAGGTTCTTGCCGACGCATAGCCCCTTTTGCTAAAGCTGCCTCATAGTTCTTTGATAGCTTTTGTAGCCCGGCTCCCATCCAGCGAACGAGATGGTAGGAAGCACAAGGAGTACGCTGGCAGAGCTCAATCACTCGAGAAATCGCGGAAAGGATATCCTGACGTCCAAGGCCGAGGTGTCGATGGTATTCGGTATGGAGCTTCAGTAGGAACGAGCAGGAATATGCGACAAACGTGTGATAGTAGTGAGGCATGCCGACAAATGCGGCTTTCATGGTCTCATCTCCGGTAACAAGGTCAATAATTGATCGTGCACTTCTCACTGCATCCTGAGCCATATCGTAGAATTCATGGGGAATTGGGTCCTTTTTTGGATCGGACGACAGCCCTCGAAAGACGTGGGAAGTAAGAAACAACCTGGCGAAGAGATAATGAATCGTGAGAGACTTGCGAGGATATTCTCCTATTCTCTGGTGTTGTTCTGGGGTGGATATTAGCCAGCTGAAACTTGTTTTTGAAACGAACTGTAGGATGAATGACACTTACCATAACGAATAGTCCAACTTGAAACCCATTGATCAAGCTGCTGACCGAACAGTTCTAGTTGGGCCTTGAAGATCAAAGGGGTTCGAGCATGAATATCCGGACCTAAAAGCTGAGTAACTTTCTCAAGTATCAGCACCAACTCGATTTGGCTCGAGATGCGAGTGTCGGTGATGCTTTGGGGCATCGCCTTGAAGTATCGCTCCCAGTTATTGACTGCTGCCTGGACGCCGAAGCTGGATGGTCTCCCATAAAGAATTGACATATGGTGATCGCAAACAAAGAAGAGATACCACACGCGGAGGCAGGAGAGTGCATCCTCATCACTGGTGAATTGAATCTTAGTACCTGATCTCCGCTGTAATTGCTTGTCCCCAACCACAATTTCGAAGGAGTGTTCGAGCTGGAACTCAATGGCGCGGCGGATGGCAAGCCCAGATACGGACCAGGATATGTCGCTCAACCAGAACGACGCGATGCACAAACCCTGGAAATCATGCACTGTGGCCTTAGGTGCAAAGACAAAGCTGGAAATAAGAGTGCGTAGCTCAAGACTACAGATCTTGAATAGGGCCTCTCCATGAGGTTCATGTAGAGCTGACACGGTGCAAATGGCCGTAAATAACAAGGGCGAGGCATGACGAATACTCTCGATGCTGTCGAATCCATGCAATATGCCGTAGAGATAATAGTCCGTCTTGTTTAGGAACCTCATGGTCAATCGGAGCGCATCATTCCAGTCCAGTTTGCCTTGCGAAACTATGTCTGAAAGCAAGCGGGTAGAGCCAGTGGTGTCGTTCGCTGAACGTGGTGGCGATAGTTGTCTCGGGCGCAGAGACCCCAATTGTGTGACTTCATATAGTGATTTTATAGGAACCTGATTCAGAGGTTCGACAGAATCTCTAATGCTGGTGTCTTCATCCCGCGTGGTTGGTTCCCCATTGTCAGGCTCGTCTTGGTGTTGTTGCAGATCCTGAGACTCCAGAGGTGGAAGCCCAATATCCGTAGAGATGCTCCTCAATGGGTCAAGTGGCAATTGTCTATTGCTAGCAAGGATTTTGTTAACAGCGGCATGGAGCATCTGCAAGTCTTCTACCACCCTAGTCCTGTGAGCAAGCGTTAGCAGGCTGGCGTCTGGCAAGCAATCTTAGCGAAGTACAGTGGAGATCCTTGAAATTCCTCGCTACTCGTGTCAAGCTGTGTTGACGACCGTTTCCAAACACATTCGATGTTGCGCTTCCTGCATCGTTGACACGGCCCTCGGCTATCTCGGAGGGAGCACCGTACCTTCGAAGAAGTCAGTAATTGGCATACGTAAAATCCTAAGAGCGAGAGGTTGTCCCCCATACTTTTTGTTGTCTACATGCCAAACAAGCCTTGACTCGGCTGCTGCTGCTTTGGTATTGAGGTGTTGGTGGCATCGTATGATATTCACACCTTGGGTGTAAAAGTGTGTGAACGGACGTTTGAGATTCGTTTAGCCAGCTTCGCAAAAGATGTGCGGGGGCGGGGTCAGTCTAGTCTAGCCTGCCAGCCAAAATCACACTATTAGCGCCTTATTAATCACAGGAACAGGACTGCAATGATACCAACCAAGTTAGCCTGACATGCGGTTCATCTTCTCTTGTTGGGCAAGCTAACTGAATATCAACTATCACAGAAGATTAGGTAAAGAGGCCGCGACTTCTGGCTTTACGAGCATTTATTATTTTGACTATTGTAGAAATATAGAAATAAAATGTCATTTGGATAGCCACTCTACATCATCGCCAAGATATAGATGCGCTCTAAGGTCACCCGAACGAGCATGACCTTCAAAATTTTCTGCGCGGGCAGCTCGTCCACAGAGCCTGCCCAGTTCGCCACTTTGGGATTCTGAAGTAACCTCCTGATAGGTAACCGTCTTGAGGAACTTCCCAACCCACAAGCCTCCTGTAAAACGACCTGCCTTCTTAGTGGGAAGAACGTGGTTTGTGCCGATGACCTAGTCTCGAGATTAGACTTGCAGTTCTTTCCAAATGAAGCAGGGAAAGGGAAATACCTTGTCTCCGTATGACACACAGGTCTTCTCGCCGAGGAATAAAGCCCCGTAATTGGACATTTTCTCAAGAGCTTCGCGAGGGTTCTCGGTCAGAACCTGAACGTGTTCGAAGGTATAATCATCTGCCAGTTTATACGCTTCGTCTAACGTCTCGACAAGAACAACCTCGCCAAATCTATCCCATGAAACAGAAGCTATGGGTGCTGTTGGGAGTATTTTAAGAAGGCGATCTACCTCTCTGATAGAGGCCTCGCCAACCTCCCTTGAGGTCGTGATAAGAACAGCTGGCGAATCAGGACCATGCTCCGCTTGAGAGAGAAGGTCGACGGCGACAGTGGTGGGATCAGCTTTGTGGTCAGCAACAATAAGCACCTCAGTCGGTCCGGCGGGAAGATCAATTCCAATGTCTCCAAACAACTGGCGTTTTGCCTCGGCGACAAACGCGTTTCCAGGGCCGGCTATGAAGTTGGCCTTGGGCATCGTCTCGGTTCCAAGAGCCATTGCCGCGATGGCTTGAACCCCGCCGAGAATCCATATTTCATCAGCGCCGGCGTGATGCATAGCTGCTACTGTTGAGGAGGGAATCTGGCCATTTATTGGGGGAGTGCAAGCGACAACTTTGGGAACACCAGCGACCTTGGCAGTGAGGATTGTCATGTGAGCCGATGCAAGTAAGGGATATCTTCCACCTGGAATGTACCTTTGAAGAGTAAGGTTAGCAAATGCAGTTCGACTGGGGGGAATAAAATGAGTCTCTTACGCTCCGACACAGTCAATGGGGATATTTCTGTGGCCGAGATGCACTCCAGGGCTAATCTCAATTTCCAGGTCCGTAATGGTGCCTCTCTGAGCCTCCGCAAACGCACGTACATTGCGCTGAGCCGTCTTGATGTCGGCTACGATTTGTTCAGGTACTGTGGAAATGATCTCATCGATTTGAGACTTGGACAGTCGAAAGGAGGCTGGCGACCACTTATCAAACTTCTCGGAGTATGAGCGAACAGCTTCGTCACCTCGAGCACGGATGTCATCAATCACGCCTTTGACGATGGCCGGTACATCCAAAGTTTGGGCGCCTCCATTTGTTTTCGGAGAAGATCCAGTCTTGAGAAATTCAGGCATTTTTTAGGGATAGAATCAAGTGTTCGTTTACTAGATGAATCCGATAAAGAAGAGAAAGAAGATTGCATTTCTTCTATGAACCGTACATGTGTGTTAAATAGTCCCCAAGAGGGGTAACGGACCATCGCATTTTCAATTTCATACATCATTTTACACCTTCTTCCCACGCAAATCAGGGTACTCAAAACATCTTCGTTACATTTTGGGGGGATCGGAAGTCCGACATGTGCTCCGTCACTTATTTACATGATCGGGCTTCGGAGTTCCGCTCCGATAAACTACCCGACACTACTTGTCCAAACCAGAACAAATGGAAATCGTTATCCTGGGCTAATACCCGAAATGAGGAAGGGAAACCCGCAGACGCTATTGCCAATTTTCGGCATGACATAATCTTCAATGGCGTTCAATACGGCCAAGTCGAGGCTCACATGAACTAGGACGGCTTGTCTCTCGTCTTCAAGTCATCTAGGCAAGCTCTTGATATTCATGGCGCAAGAAGTAGAAACACATCCCTCTGCTTCCCCGGAATTTCGATTTGCTTTAACTCACAAGATTTAATTTATAAGTAAGTGGCTACAAAAAGCTAACACAAGAAGGCTGACCATCACCAAGAAGTTTTGTGGTCCATAATGGCATCATGCACTGCTCCACCCTACCAAGGCTCAGTTCTTCATAGTAATATATTCATATATTTCATACGTGAATACTTGAATGATATTTAATATCAACTTGTGAATATTTGGGAAGTTCCGGTAATCGAATCATACAACTTGCTCCATCAAAGGTATCCATCCCCTGACATTCCCATTACTATGTTGCCGCTGGCAAACTGGGATATATTCCCACCAGAAAAAAGAAATTGAAAATGCATCATAACACCGTTGCACCATGCTTTCATGCCTCGCATATTTACATAAATCTCCCAGTATTTGTTGGTTTCGTTCAAGTGAGACGGGTATCCTCAAGATATCCGAATCCCGTGGCTCGGTGCCGTCCAGCAGACCTCAGCCACGGGTCGTCAAGCAGCTCCTTGGCCGACGCACGTTGCTCAGGAAGCCAGGTCAGCATCTTCTTGGCAAAATTGATGAACAGAGCACGCTCTTGACCGTCGAGCATGGGGGTCGAGTTGGAGAGGCTGGACATCTCATCAGGGATGAGTTCTGGATGCTTGAAGACTCCTACAAACAGGCCGTTAGAACGAGAATATTCGGAGGTTTTAGCGGATAGGGGGGGATCAATGGTTCCGACGTACCTTGATCGTTGTAGAACTCGGAAAGGGCATCCCGGTCGGCTCTGGCAAGGAGCTCAGCAGGCGGGGGACCAAGAAGACGAATCATCTGGGCAAAGCGATTCTTCTGGGAGAATCTGCAGTAACCAGGAACACGGCCGCTCAGCAGGTTGTTATCGCCGAGCAATTCCCAAAGCTACCAAATGTCATCAGTATACGCCACAGTATCCCGCCATACTCGGGGTATTACTCACCACAAGACCAAGGTTCCAGATGTCGGCAGAGTATGACCAGCCTGCCTTGAGGAGGACCTCAGGGGCAACGTATTCTCGAGTTTGGATCAAATGAGTGTGCGGTTGCGCTACATCTCCCCTTACGGAATGGCCAAAGTCTGTGAGCTTGACGTTGCGGACATCTCCTCTAAGATGGCCGAAACTCTGACGGGAGGCGTAGACGGGACGTCCGTTGCGCTCCTGGCAGGGCGCGGGGTTGGTCAATTGACGCTTGACATAGTCGTCTAGGACACCAGAGTCCTCAAACGGAATCATGAAATGGTTACCGGTAAGGTCTGGGTGCAGATGATGTGAGCCAAGTCCAGCGACGAAGCGGGGGAGCAAACTTACTTGTATGAATGAGACGGCACTCTGAGTGAAGGAAGTCAAGGGCCTTGAGCATGCTTGGAAGCAAGGCTTTGATGGTATTGGCCTGGACCAGGCTGGTGAGACCGCTCTGCTGGCCAAGCATCCAGACAGGCTGGCGCAGAGCTTCGTAGGTCATGCAGATGTGCGAGCCCTCAGGGCCCTCAACCTCAAATGAGTCAAGGACCGGGCGGATGTATTGGCGGCCGGGATGGGTGGTCTCTGCGGCAAGGAATTGCTCAGAAACAGCAAGCTCTTGACGAGCTCTCTCAAGAACATTGGGAGTGTTGTTTGTAATCTTGAGCGCCACGTAATGTTCATTTTGCCAAGGGAGCCTAAGCGCAAAATATGAGCCAATCTACACATACAGCATAATGGAGGCAAGGGAGCCCTCTTACCAGTGAGTTGCTCTAGCGAGCCAAACAGTAGAGCCGGTGCCCCATCCAAGCTTGGACACAAGCTCATATTTACCGCCATGGAGAGTGTCGCCAATGTGAGCCGGGTAATAATCCTTGGGATTATAGTTCCGGGACCGCTCCTCCTCGAAGGGGCGAGGTGAAGTATGGCTGGAGAGCTTCCTCAATCCTACCGCGCATCCTTGAGCAGCAAAGCGCTGGTTACGAAGGAGAGTTCGGCCGAGTGCCGGGGCTACAAGACCGTAACGCATCTTGAGTGCTAATTAGTGAGGGTTATCCCTGCGACTCTTGTCCTTGGATATGGATATAATGTCGCTTGAGGTTCCGATATCGGGATTGGTCTTATATGCTCCAAGGAGTAGGAGGACGTTTATATAAGCCCAGGCCGACCGCGATGATGGAGTTTGGGGCCAATAGTCACAAGAACATACAAGTATCAAGTGTAAGAAGGGAAAAGGATAGCAAAAGCGAAATGGGTGGGAGACGGTGGGAGGCGGCCATCTTAATACGACGGGGCAAGACCTGCGTCTTTTTGCCTATTCGTTCAAAAGGATTGCCTGAATTACAATAGTACGTAAATGAATTATACACGCTGCCTACATGGCCGAACTCGTGGCCACTTCCGTACCACAGAACAGCCTGTCTCGGGGTATGTCGGTTATGCTTTGAGTGTGAGGCCGGGCAGACGGAACTGAAGCCCACACGCGACTCACAGTCTCGGTACAGCCAAAGAAGAAACGACAGGGGAGCTGACGCACTATGCAAGTCGTTTGGTGGAGGTCCCCGGGGGGCTCTGCATCCAGGTGGAGTGAGCTGTGGGAGCAATCAGGCCACCTCATGAGGGAAAATCCCGTTGAGGCCGGGGGCCAGATGGTGAGGGTTCATTTTCCTTTTCCCCAGCCGGCCCAGACCAGACTAGCGAGCAGGCCAAGAGGAGAATAGATGGAGGGGCAGCCATCGATTTGTCCCCCCGGCGGCTAGGTACAAGCACGAAGGAACACGGAGGGGTGTTGGTGAGGTAGTTTCTGATGATTCATTAGAGCTGGAAGACGTCGCACCCAGTCCACCCGAGCGTCCAAGCGAAGGGCTTCAGGGCTGATTCCCTCATCTGTCTTTATTTCTCATAATAACCTCAGCGCTAGTCCGATCGTCAGGTCCCACCCGCAGCAAACACCAACATTCACTCCGGGAGCATACCCAAATATTGTCTCTTTGGGGCCCCGCAAGGAATGACTCGACTCCTGGGCGCGTGCCTCCAGGGTGCGGGGAATCTGGGGGCCAAGCTGCGCTGGTTGTTCAGTCGTGAGATCAGATGGGTGAATGGCTGACTTGAAACCAGGATTCTCCGCGTTTTCCCGATGGCACATACACCAACCAGGGAGCCAGCAGAGATTCGTGGTGGGCAACGCTACCTAGACCATCCCCAGACCTATTTGCTTGACGGATTTCTCCGATGGGTTGTTTGCTAAGCGGTCAGGAGACCGCCAGCAGCAACATCAATGTCGCCACGCCACTTGGAATGGACAAGAGTAGGTGGTAGCGACGTAACTTTATCGTCGTCAAGGTAGGGTCAATCACGAAGACGGGTTCGCTTTAAGGTATTTTTTGTAGCCATGTAGTTATATATTCAAACCTGCAAAGAGCCTAGATTGTGAATCTCCCTCTGGGCATGTCTGCTTCGCGTTCCAGGCGATGGCTTCCTGCATTAGCGACAGCGCAAACAAACAATTCTCTCCGGCCAAAACCTAGCAGTGGAATATTTATATTGGATTTTATTCTTTCTTATTCAATTCAAATGGTAGGAGGATTCCATCATCGCACTAATATTAAATTGAATTGATGCTGTATCATCCAGATACGTCTTAATGATCAATTCTCTCTGCTCCATTTTAGCACCAGTCTCCTGAAATAACACGCACTCAAATATGATAGCACCTCAAAAATACTTCCTGTACGATAGCACAAATCACTCGATCACTAAAACATTTCCTCGTTAAGAGTCCAACCTCTGATGCAGAAGGTTCGGTCCGGGAATCTGCAGACGCGAAGCTTGATGCTAAACAAAGACTGCTCGTATCCGATCTACGATCCACGTAGCAAGCAGAAAACTTATCCAAAACCTTCTTTCCTGGAGATTTGTGGATTTCGTTGTATTATAATGCTGCCGCCTGCTCATAATCATCTCCTGCTCAAATTCACATCCTCGTCCACTAGAAGCCACGCACGATACATAGGTGGTTTCGCGACTTCTAGTGCATTTCCTTACTTATTTTCATCTACTTCTCCTTCATATTTCCAGAGATATGATTTTATGATATCTTTCGCCGCCGCTCTCTAAAATGAAAAGTGCTTTGGAAGATTTGGGCCTCGAGGACATGGACGAAAGTCCATATCATTTTCGGATATTGGCCGTCACTCTTTCCATTCCCCTTTGTTTCCTATTCATAACCCTGGCCTGCTTTTGGTTCTTTCCTTGTTTGGTCGTCTTGTTTTGCGCTTCCTGTATAGTTCTTCCTGGGGTTATTGTAACTCTCTCGTCTACTTTCAATATTCGACCTTTCACCACCGTCTGCTTGTTCATCTCTGTGCCAGGTGGCCTGAGTCCAAGCGAGAAGGATGAATACCTACAATGAGAAATCGGCCAGCAATGAGCCTCGACGGCACTGGACTCGTTTGCGACTCCGCGAGACGAATATCCCCAAGGGAGGAATATTCCTATGCAAAGGAACACAGCAGGTTGGAATCAAGCGGCGCATCGAGCTGCTACTTCGTATCTGAACAAACCTTTCCATACCATCTACACCAAGAGTCAAAGAGCGTATTGGGATCAACAAACAACACTTGAACACCAAGGATGCCAAGAGCCCCTCCCCTTAAGAGTTTCTTCTCACGCACTGAGACAGCAAATTGTCCTGAAATAATATTCTTTCTCTTCCTGAAAGGGTCGCGGAATACCGTTTTCGGAGCGATATGCGACTACCCTCTCTAAACCACATCATACGAGCATCGGCAAATTGTGTCGGCCAATTGCCACATAGTGGTGCGACCTATCTATGCGATCCATCCATTACGTGGAAGGTCTTCACCATCTTAGTTGACGGGACTTTGATTCACAAGAGGCAACAGATTTGCGAGAGTGGAACTTGGGAGCAGGAAAAAGTGTGAAAATTTCAATTAGCCTACCATTGTAACTAATTCAGACTCTACATAACCCTATATCTGGACGATAGAAAATCTCCCATCCTAAATCTAAGCTGGAATGGTCGCCAGAAGTTCATCGCGCTCCCTCTTCAACGCATCCTCGAAAGACGTGAACGGAATCCCAAACTCCTCCTGTACCTTACCAACCTTCTCGAAGATCGTGCTGAAATCCTTGGCGTTCGTGAAAAGGTGGAAGCGCTGAGCAAAGGCGGTGGTCTTTGCCTCTTCGACCTCGGCGGGGGTGCGCTTCCTCAGACGCACCTCCCTACCACTGACCCGGGCGACAATGTCCCTCGCCTCCTTGACGGTGAGCGGCTCGTTGCTGAGCTCAATCTCCTTGCCGTTGAACTTGGACGGGTTCTGCAGAGCCGCCGCGGCGTACTTGCCGATGTCACTGGCGTCGGTGTGGGGCATCCTGGCATTTTCCTCGTAGGAGTGGACGAGCTCGCCCGTGGTAGAGATGCCGGGGAAGTTGTGCTCGGCGCTGGCTCCAAAGTAGTTGAAGTGGATAAAGGCCGGCCGGAGGATGGTGTATTTGAGGCCGCTCTGGCGAACGGCATCTTCAATCGAGGCCTTGGAGCTATAGTAGCCGTGCAGGCCGATCTCCTTGGTGACTTCCTCATCCCACATGTGTCTGTGCCCCGTGCCGAATGTCGTGGTCGCAACGATAGACTCGATGCCGACCTTCTTGCAGGCCTCGACAACGGTCTTGGCCTGCTCGGTCTCGATGCCAGGGATGGGGAAGGTGTTTAGGAAGGCGCCCTTGCAGCCCTGGGCGGCGCGGGTGATCTCCTCCAGGTTGTTGGTGTTGCCCTGGAAGATGGTGACGCCTGGCTCCTTGAGCACTTTGGCCTGTACCTTTGCAGGGTCGCGGACAACAGCGTGGACTTTGGCGCCTGCTTCCAGGAGGTGCTTGATGGTCCATTGGCTTTGGTGGCCGGTGGCTTGGGTGACGAGGTAGGTAGCCATGATGTATATTTCTTATGTGAGATCAAACAAGTGATACTGAACTGGAGAGTGATGAATTGGTTGGTTGTAAGTGAAGCTGGTCGGTGAATTCCAACTGTACTCGGAGGAAGCGGCCAGTCTTTATACCCAGAGATCCATCGGGATTCATTCAATCGGCTTTACCTGACCATACTATTAGTCCTACTAGACATCACCGAAACCCTCAGAAAGAACAGCAGCCATGGCCGGCGTGTCTCCAATGACATGATGACTGCCGCATCTGGCCTGGCCCATCAAAGTCCGCCGAGTGGGGCCGGTCCGTGGCCCCTTTTTCGATCACCAGATGACAAATGTCGGATTTCCAAGACTCGGAGAAAGTTGCACCTGGTGGGTCTGGCGATGGTCCAAGGGGCCGCCTTTCCAATGATAAAGCGCCGGCCGCCCAGCCCCAGCTCAAGCAACTTTGCCCGAGCATCTTCAGTTTCTAAGCCTGGGTTGCTGAATCCCGATCGCGAAGCCCCAAGAACCGTAGTCCCGCCTCGATCTAGGCCTTCCCTCGACGGAGATAGCAAATGTCCGCCGGTATGACACATCAGAAGAAGAGCTGTTGGACGTGCAAAGGTTGGTCTTGCGTGTATGCATCTTTGGGAGCGGGTGGGATGTTGACCGCTGGTGGTTTGTAGCGCGGAAAATCAAGTGTGATCGGGGCCTGCCTATGTGCCAGAGATGCGTCCGATCAGGTCTGGAATGCCAGGGATACGCACCTCGCCTGTCGTGGCCCAGAGACAATGACAGGAAGCGCACCATGACGGTCACGGTGCCGTCGTCGAGGGCAAGCTTGCGCAGAGGGTCCAAGGTCCGGTTCATCAACACAACCGCAAAGGATATCGAATTGTATCGGCACCTGGCATATCTGACCCTCCAGCAACCCCATTTCCTGGTCCGGCCGACTCCCAGCTTGCTCAGAAGGCCGCAGTTCGTTGTGAGAAACATGGACCTGGTTCACTACTGTAAGCTTCCGGACGCCGCATATTCTTTCACTGAGGAATCCCGCCAGGCTCACATCCATGTGTCCCAGTCCACGCAGACGCGCATCTTTCGCTGGTGGCGTTCAGCCCCAACACAGCAGATATCCGAGATGCCTTGATACGCATGGCCTTCGCGAGTGACACGGACGCCGGGCGCGCCCTTCTCTACGCGCTGCTTGCCGTCTCAGCGCTGCGTCGCAGTGGCTTTCATGAGGAGACGTTGCAGTTCAAGGTGGCAGCTCTACATGCGCTTTCTAAATCTTCCGGCGTCGCCGGCTTAGGCACGACGGAGTCTGTTCAGCATGTCGCCGCGTGCATGCTCCTGGGGGCCTTCGAGGTACGTCTTCGAGACAAAAGTGTCCAGCACAAGGAATCAATTTGGCTCATTTGCCCAAAACGCAGATCTTATTACCTTCAGATAGCTCAGGGGAATGGATTTGGTACATCAGAGGAGCGATGGACATCATTCGCGAGACTCAGCTGACAATGGTGGGAACCGAAGCCGACATCAACATTCTTCTAGACTGGACGTACTACCACTACTCTCTGTCTACATTTACTATCAGCCATTGGAGGAATAAGGCTGTCATCCTAGACTCCTCCCCCAATCCAACTATTTGCGAGCCAGTAGGTGGGCAGGACACCCTCGTGGCCATTGACAAACAGGTATGTATCGAATTGGTGGAGTAGGAATGCTGTCTTTGGTGTCTCGACTAATCCCACCCCGTAGCTATTTCGCTCCCCAAACCCAACCCACGAGATCTTAAATCTTCTCGCAGAAGCATGCGACACGCTGCTCTCCAGATCGGACCCACGGAGCCAAGAGGACAGCTATAAGCAGCAGCTAAAACAACTCGAGCATCGCATCGAGAGCATACCCGTCACGCCGGACATGGCCACCGACGGCGCCGAGCTCTCCGGCCTCATAAAGCTGTACAAGCTCTCCACGCTCATCTACGTCATCCGCGCCGGCCAGACCACCTGTGAGCCCACGACGCGGCTGGACAACCTGGTGAACCGGGCGTTCCAGGTCCCGATCGGGCAGCCGGGGTGCTACCACTTCTTCCCGCTGTTCATCGTGGCCTGCGAGGCGCGGACGGACGAGCAGAGGGCGGCGGTCCTGGACCTGATCGCGCGGACGGAGAGGAACTCGTTTATGCGCAGCATGAAGATGCTCAAGGCCGGCATCGAGGCCATCTGGGTGCAGAGGGACCTGCACGCCGATGAGGATCTGCTGATGAATTACATGGATTTGATGAATGTCGTCATAAGCTCGAACTCGACTCTGCCTTCTTTTGTGTAACTACTTACCTGTTATCGGAGTTCCATTTGGAGTGTATTCGCATATCGTCTATGATTCAGCGGGGAAATTGAACACGAAGCAAAGGACTGGCTCACGTTTTACATGCATTGGGTTTGTCGGCTGAGTAGACCTTGGGATTATATCACCTTAGGTTACTAGCCTAACGACACAATCAAAACATGAGACAATACTCGTCGAAAACATACTCAAATCTGTGAAATTTCATTATATCGCATGAATATAATACAATGACCATCCATCATGTTTCCTCGGCCTCTCTCTTCCTCACATCCTCGATCAAATCAGCCCAACGAAGCCACTTCATGTAACCACACTGCAGGACCGCCGTCAGCAGCAATCCGCATCCGTATCCCATCCACAACCCATTCAGCTTGAGGTGGGGGGCACCCAGCTCGAGCCACAGGGCCAACGGAACAGCGCCGAGGTAGTTGACCAACATGACGACCCAGGCCGAGACAGACTGACGGGCCAAACCGCGCATCATACCGTTGCAGCCACAGCTAATGGCATCCAGAGTGTGGAAGATCGATACTGTGAACATCGATCCTGTTGCAATCTCCCGCACGACCGAATCTTTGGAAAATACAAAAGCCAGCTCGTTCCGCAACACGAATAACAGCGTGCCAACCAGAAGACCAGCGCCAACGAAGACGATCGAGTACATGACAGCTGCCCGCCGAGCCAACTGGACGGCGCCCCCTCCTATGAGGTTCCCAATCCGGGTCGTGACGGCAATGCTAATGGAGAAGGGGACATGCCACATGATGATTGCCACCGTCACGAGAACAGACTGCGCCGCCAGGTACTCGGTGCCAATGTAGGACGTGCTCACGCACAGAATCTCAAAGGCCATCCACTCAGCCAAAATGACGATGGATCCCGCGACGGAGAGACGCACCATCGGGCCCCATTCACGCAGGCAACTCCTCGACCACCCTCCCCAGCACTCGTGGGACCACTTCCTGAAGAAGACGATCAGGCCCAGCAGCAGGATCGGGCGGAGGTTGTTAGCCAACGCCTGTCCCAGCGCAGCTCCTTGCAGTCCCATGCCGAGTTTGATGGCGAAGAGCCAGCTGAGCAGAGCATTGACGGGGGCGCACAGAATCAGAACGAGCAGAGCGGTGTTGAAGTCGCCCTGCGCCTGTAGAAACCGCTTGCCGGCCTCGAAGAACGCATACCCCGGCAGCCCCGCGACACTGACCCGCAGGAAGGCGCTGGCCTTGACAGGGAGGAACTCCTGGCGCACGACGAGAGGGAGGATCCACGGGGCGCACATCCACAGCGCGCCGACGGGCACGATGGCGACGGCCATTAGGAGCAGCATGCGCTGGATATGTAGGCCGACGCCCGTTCGGTGGCCGGAGCCGTAGGCCTGGGCGCAGAGCGTGTCGAGCGCCGTGGCCATCCCCTCGAAGAGCGCGAAGCCGGGGATGGCCATCGCGGTGAGGCTGATGCTGGCGGCGGCGAGGTCCTCGGCGCCCAGGCGGCCGGCGACGATGGTGGTGATGACGTTGGAGGAGTATTGGAGGAGGTAGGTGATGATGAGCGGGCCAACGGAGCGGCACATGAGCCAGAACTCGGACTTCCATGTGAATGCTTCGTCGTCGAGCTTGCCGGGGCAGTCGTGGGTTCGAGGTGCGTCGGGCAGCAGGGGCGAAGTCTCGTTGAGGCCGCCGTGGCCATGGCTGCTGAGGCGGCGATTGCTCGTGTCGGTTCTCTGGGTGCTCATCGTGGGATCGTGTGCGATGGCTCGGGCATTGGGGTGCAATTGAAGGAGGAATCAATTGGGAGCTCCTCAATCGGTCGCGTTGGATGATGAATGTATGAATGGAACATGGCTGGGCCAAGGGAGGGGTATGCCGCGTCTCAGGAGAACGCGCAAATGGCGGCCATGTGTAACATTCCACTAGAGCAGCCAGTCAAAGATACGGAAAAACTTGAGGTATAGCAGAGTTTAGGGTTTAGCCTCCAAAGCCAGAACGATAGAGTGGTGGTTGGAATGGTGATGGCTAATTGGCATGAACCTCCACCATTGTTGGCACACGTTCTTCACACAAAGTATGCTGTGAAATTGAAATTCATTGCGCTCAATCAGCAACAGAGCGAACGAGGGGGTTTTCAAGCCTCAAACCCTGGTAAATGTGACGTGATGCATCTTGGTGCGGGACGTCACGAACTTTAACGCCTCCTGAGCTTGACGTAGCACAGAGGGAGCTCCCGAGAGGGGTTTGGTTTCGCGTGGCAGAGCGGCATTGTAGCAGGGAGTTTTTGAGGGTTGGTACCCATGCTACATCATAAACATGGATGCCCTCGACTCGGTCAAGAACCAGGTCTGCATTTCGCACATCCCAGCATGCAAGAAATGAAAAGACTGTGCATGAGGACCGAGGGCTCTAGCACAGGATCGTCCGGTCAGCACCCCTCCCAGGGCTGCAGCCCTTGAGTGCTCAGACTGGTGTTTTACATCAAAATCCTGCAACAAACAGCTTCTCGTGACTCTTGTCTGGGGTATTATAGGTCAAATGCCTGGCTGCCGAGCAGGGAGCAGGGGGATATCCAACCGCCCATGTTGTGCTTGGCCTCTTGATAGGCTTCTGGATGGTGTGATTTGTCGAGTGATGGAAGGGCACTGGCGGTCAGCGCCCTCTGATCAGCCATCCAGGACTCCTATCCAGCAGCTATGGTGTGCTGATTGGGTGTCTTTGCATGTTGCACTCGAATACTCCACGGCCACTGGACAGCCCCGCGTCAACATGGCAAGCAAGGATGCGTAGCGTGAGACTCCATATTCCGGGGCTACAAGCTAGACCAGAGAATGACTGAATAGAACAAAAGCCAATTGTTATTTCTGGACAATTAGCCCACCTGCCTCTCGGGAACGAGACCGAAAACCCACAGGCATCAAATCACCGACAGCTAAACCAAGGCTGGCCAGATCGATCGCCGGCCAATTAAGAGACCAGCCGACATGTGCTGGCTTGGCTGGCCACAGAGCACGTGTGTCGAGAATCCTGAGCTTGGGAGGGCTTTTCCTCGATTTGTTTCAGTCCGAGTCGTGTACTAATGTACATAAGCGCCCGTTTGGGGGAGTAGCCGGGGTCGAAGCTGTGCCCAGCCTACGTATGCAGAGTGATAGGAGGTGTGCTAGCCAGGATGATGGGCTGGGACGGTCGGCGGTCGTTGATGGCCGGGCATTTCGAAGGGAAAAGAAAACTGAAGTTGAGTTGATGCAGATACTGGCCGGTGAGGTCGGTCTGTGTTGTCGGCCATGGATATGGATATGCATCGTGTCCGCGATACATACCGAGAGCCAACAGGCCAAGCTGCGCATCACCCACGGCCAACAGCAGCAAGATGATGACTAGCATGGGTCGGATGGCTTCCAGGCCTCTCACCCCTGTCCGTCCCTCATTATTACCGTCGTCAGTCGTGTGAGCTTGCAAAACCAGCCCCTCCTGCGTGCTTTGCGGTGGATGCAGCGGAGTCCAAGTGCCGCTGCCATTGGCGCCCAAACCGCTGGCTGTTCCCAAAACGGGTGTCAATAGAAGCCGATAAACACCATCTTATTCAACACCTCTTTGGGAATGCGGCATTCTCAGGGCCTCACCCCTCGCTGCAAATCAGCCTCTGGCCACGCACAAACCGCCCAAACAGCTCGCGCAATGACGGCAGAGCCCCATCAGACCCTGTGCGACTGGACCGCATTCAGAAAACTTCACGACCAACAGCATATTTATCGACCATCAGGCTCGCCTGCTTTCTCGACGCCGCCGCCCATTGTGCCGTCCTGCCCGCCCGCCGCCAGCTCCTAATTTAATCTGTCCTTGGCCCTTCTGCCTCTCTGCTCCCTCTGGACCGCCGCTCCAGACCACTCCGGATGTCGTCCTCAGCCCCAGCTCCATCCCCCACCATCCCCGAGCACCGTCGTGGCTGTCGTAGGTTGCTCGCGCAGAGTCCAGCAGAGCAACATGAGAATCGCCTGTCTCCAGTTCGCCCCCCAGGTCGGTGATGTCGACAACAACCTCAACCGTGCCGACGCCGTGCTGAGCAAGGCAACCCCCGATGACTTCGACCTGCTCGTGCTCCCCGAGCTGGCCTTTTCCGGTACGTGTGCACCTGAGCACAGCATCTTCCTGCTTTCTCCTTTCTTTGTGTGCCTTTGTGCGCTAGTGAGGCTGACCGTGTTCCCCCTCAACTTGCTCAGGCTCCAACTTCGAGTCCTTGCAGCACATCTCCCCTTTCCTCGAGCCCTCCGGGTCGGGAATCACCTCGCTATGGGCCCGCACTGTCGCTCTCAAGTTCGAAAGCACTGTCATCGTCGGATACCCTGAGAAGGTGGACGTTGCCAGCCGGTGGCCTACGGGCCCCGAGTACTACAACTCCGCCATCGTCATCAACGAGGACGGCGACACCATTGCCAACTGCCGCAAGACCTTCCTCTACCCCACCGATGAGACGTGGGCTCTCGAAGGCGAGGGCTTCCACGATGGGTTCCTCCCCAACGCGGGGCAGACTGCCATAGGAATATGTAGGTTCTTTTCCCTTTCTAACTGCCGATGATCTCGTCGCCAGCTGCTAATTTCGTCCTCGACGCAGCGACGGATATCAAGTAAGCCCGATGTCCCTGCCATGCCGTCCACCCTCTAACGAAGTTTCCAGCCCCTACAAGTTCCAGACGCCCTTCCACGCCTTCGAGTTCGCGTTCCATGTCCTCCACGCAGAGTGCAACCTCGTCGTTCTGACCATGGCCTGGAAGACGGGCGAGGACGCTCGCCTGTTCAGCCGGACCCCCAACGAGCCGGACATGGATGTGCTTGGGTACTGGGTCGCAAGGCTGGAGCCGCTCATCCGCGCCGAGTCCGACGAGGAGATCATCATAGTCATTTGCAACCGGTCTGGGGTCGAGGACGACGCGGTCTACGCCGGGTCGAGCGCCATCCTCGGCGTCCAGAGCGGCGAGGTCAAGGTGTACGGCTTGCTCGGCCGCGGTGACAAGAAGCTGCTGGTTGTTGATACGGACCAGGCGCCGTACGCCAAGCTTCAGCATCGAGCCTTGCCGAGCGACTCGGAGTCCACGACGCCCAGATCGTCATCGCGCCAATCATCCGGGTCCAAGCAGCCGTCTGAGAGCTCGCACCACCGGGCAGCCACGCCGTCCTCTCCACTCGTGCGCCGAGAGAGCAAATCCAAGGACTACTCGCCCTACACGTCGCGGCCAACCTCCCCTCGGCAGGACTCGGTGTCATCTACAAAGAGCCAGGATTCCAGGGCGTACAGCTCGGCCTCATCCACCAAGGGCAAGGAGCAGAGGGTCTACAGTCCTGTCTCATCTAGAGAAAAGGACCAGAGATCGTACACCCCAGTCTCTTCAAAAAGAGACAAGGACCCGACATCGTATAGCCCGGGACCATCGCGCAAGGAAAAGGAATCCAAGCCATCCAGCCCCAGAAAGCCCACCCCGAATCCCGGGGCAAAGCCGGGCCTAGGGGCTTACACCTCACTTGACGAAGTCGTCCGGTCCAGCCTGGAGGACAAGGAGCCGGGCTCTCCCTCATCCATCAATTCCAACAACTATCTTGACCCCAACGAGCGAGACAGCTTGAGGCAGGATACCCCCGTGGTCCGATTCCCCGACAAAACCTCCTCCGATCCTTTCTCTCGGAAGCAGATCTACGGCGGCCAGGTCTCCATATCCTACGTAGAGGAGGGCCGCAGCCCCGTGACGCCCTATGACGAGAACCGCCGCGCCTACTGGAGCAACTACAAGGTCCCCGCCGCGGCCTCCATGAAGCCCCAGGGCCACCGCATCAGGGGCAGCTCGGGCTCAAAGGGCAATACCCCCGACCCGGACCAGCGCACCGTCCGCGGATCCCCGCGACCCAACAAACACCACCACCAC